CAAGACCAAGTTGCGACAACGAGGTCAACCCACTTATATAAATCGAAAGGAGACTGCGACCATAACAGAGACCACAACATCTTGGTCTTCATATATTCTATTAATTATATGGTTTGTTTCCCTTTACTTACAGTGCTGTTAGTGTGCATCTACACTGCATCAAAATTTACAAGATCTTATTTGTTTGTATCTACGTCTCTACCAACTTACGTATTTATAAGAACTTTTTATTCATTATTGCTAAGTCTTAGATATTTACTTTAATTGGAGTCAAATAAATCCTGATGCGTTACGCATCATGCAACCTTTATTATTAAAAATACTTTCAGTTAGAACTCCTTCTTTGCGTATTTTGTACAAGCCATGCGCATTCGTAGATGTGGCGTCTCGTCGAAGATGTATTTGTTTTCCACTTCTCCAGTTTCCCATTTGTTATACAATATCGCGGGCAATCAATGTATCTAGATTTCAGTGTTTCTGTAAGGCCATTAGTGATTATCAGGGGGATTCAATGTTATAAAAGCCTCCATTTTTTGCTCCACTATCCCTAGCCATAACTACAAATGCTCCCCCTTTGTTTTCCCTCAACACTATTTACTATGATTTTATTTAATCTCCTATTCCTGATGGATAGGAAGGAATTTTACATTCAAACGCATTCTTTGTTTGGCCTGGCAACAGTTCACCTGCTAATTGATATTAATTTTGTGTTTTTTGTAATAATTTTCAAGCAAGAATCTATGCATCCAAGCAGAGAAGTTGTATGAACAGGTAACCTAGGGTACTGTGATGGTATGAATTGCAGATGAATCTTTGCATTAAATTGCGATCGAAATCACCGACTTCGGACTATTTGCGTCTAACTAAGTCGTCCTGACAACACGATCAAGTTAGAAAAACGAGGAGACTACGACCATAATAGAGTTCGCAACTTCTTGGTTTTCATATCTGTGTTTAAGCTAACATTTTTCATATGGAGTTCTTTATCAAAGTAGTCATGCTAATTTCCAGCGTTAGACCATGTACTTGGTACAATCCCAGAGGTTTTGCCGGCATCCTAGTCGAAATTATCAGTGAGATTTGCCACTTGTAGTACCACACTAAAACTCTTTAAAGAGACAAATGAAGTCCATCTCTTCTACATATTTCCACTGAACAATTGTGGAATCTCTTCTATCGTGGTACATTCATCTATCTCATATCCTTGCATCTACC